AACGCTAAAATGTAACAAAAACAATCATTGCATTTATCAAATTTATATCAAAATAACATAAACAAATTTGCCCCGCTTTGCGAGGCTATCAAAGTTATATAGTTATTTATAAATTCATAATTTAAAGGTGATAAATCATGGAAAACCCCCCATAAAGTCAAACCATATAGCTTTCCGCATCAAGTTATTATTCTCATGTGGGTTTTATTAACCTTTTCATATCAAAAATCCTTCCTTCCATAGTGATAATTGAAATAAAATCAAAATTCAGGGAAAAACTCTGCCTAGAAGCCTTAAGTTTATCAATAATCCATAACTTGAATAAGGAAACATAATCTAATAGCATAAAAAATTGGAAAAGAGATTAAGCTTTACATCAAACCCTTAGTATAAAGAGTTTAGTTGAAACATGACACTTAATAAAACTCAATAATGCTTGATAAGTATTTCATAATCAATAAAGGATAATGAAAAGAAAATAAACAAGATTAAGAGTTTAGAAATAAGAACTAGTAACAATTGGCTTTGGGATGGCTTCCTTGAACCTTTGCACAACTCCTTGAATACTTCAGCTTCTAAAAGAAAATGAAACTATATACAAAAGCTATAAGCTATGAGAGACGGGAGAAGAGATATGGGATGGAATGGGATACTTGGAATGGCCCTTCTTCTCCTCTTTTATATATATAGACTTCTTGGGAGAGAAATCCACAAGGTTTAATGAATAAAGTCCAAGTTTATTAGGTGAAAAAGCTCTAAATCAAGCCATAAATTTCTCTCAATTATGGCTTCCCATATGCATATGTTAAAGCTTGACTGGCATGTGAAGAAAGTATCCAAAGTGAGCTGTGAAAATGGTAGGAATTGGTTGGCAATCTTGACTAGGATCAACTTTTAGCCTTTTAGCACAGGCGTGCTGAATGGCACGGTCTGGGCGTGCTAAGCTCTAGAAGTTTGGATGACTTAGCACGGTCCGTGCTGTCTAGCACACTTGAGGAGGGTCTTTTGGCACAAACGTGCGCCATAGCACGGCCTGGGCGTGCTAGGCTCTGGAAGTCTGAGTGCAATTGTAGCACGGGCGTGCGCATTGGCACGGTCAAGGTGTGCATCTTCCCTTCTGGCACGGGCGTGGGCCCTAGCACGGTCAGGGCGTGCTAGGCTCTGGAAGTCCAGGGTAATTATAGCACGGGCGTGCAGCTCAACACGGGCTGGGGCGTGCCAGAGTCTGACTCTTTGCTTGTTTTTCCTTGGTTCTTAGCACAGGCGTGCTGATTAGCACGGGCTGGCCATGCTAAAATACTTTTTGCCTCATTTTTGTCCTTTTCTTTGCAAAATCCTACAAATTTTCTCAAGATCAAGTGAGTTGTGTTTCAAGCAAGCTTTTAAATAAAAACATAATGATATTAAAGAAAAACTAATTTAAATAAATAAAAAGTACTATATTAAAGAAACCTAATTTAAATAAATAAAAGTACTACAAAATCTTAATAAAAATTTACATAAAATTACTATTAAAAATAACACTATCAAAATTCCCCACACTTAAATCATGCTTGTCCTCAAGCAACAAAACTAATTTTTTAGCTTAATATGGTTGGAATAATCATTCACAAATTTAATAAAATATCTCAAATTATTAACATAAGAATAAACATGTATTTCATGTCAAATCATTTTTAGCGACAAAATTCAATTTTTAATAAAGACATATTCTCTTAATTATAACATCAAAGTTTTAACAAGATTTTAATCATCAACACTTATTTAATTTTTTATGATATTAATTTTTATGATAATTAGAATATGAATTTACAAAAAATCATTTTAACCTTTAAATAGATCATAAGTGTAACACTCCCATAAGCAACATTAGTCATCATTTCTCCACAATTGAAATGCACACAGTTAAAAAGATCAAAAGGTCTTTATTTAGGTTGCAATGGAGTTTTAGGGATAAAACTTTGGCTAAAGAAGAAAAGGCAATATGATAAACAAAAATGCAACAAATGCTTCATATTATGATTTTGCATTTATATTAAAATCAATTTGCATTTGTAAAGGGAGATTGAGCTAGCTTACATTTTAGAGGTAATATTTTGGCAAGGTCTCTTCATAATTTTTTTGATAAATTCTTCCTTGCTAAAGTTCCCCAAACTTGAATTTTTGACCGATTTCTTTTCTTGCGGGGTATTTCTCTTTTCCTCTTTTGCTAGTATTAATAGAGTTTTCTCCCTTTGTTGTTATGTTTTTAATAAAAATCAAATCCGTCAATTACACATTGTTGCATTTAGGTTGCGGAATTAATTTGGTTTAATGGTTGCATTTAGGTTGCGGAATTAATTTGGTTTAATGGCTAGGTTCAAATAAAGGTGAACAATAAAATTTTTGATATAAGCTTCAAATTGGTTGGAAGGGTCATACTTTCTTAGGTGGTCTAAGCTAGATATGAGGTTTTAACAAAAAAAATGCCTAAATCATCTCTTTAAAAATGTAAGCACAAAAAAAATTTATCTTGAAGAGAATTCTAATTTGTTCTAGGAGTGCCAAGGTTAAATAAGCTTTATGAAAAACACATCTATTCATCATAAAATGTTAACAAGGTTAATGTTTATAATCTTAGAAACAAATGGTTAAACTAAAAGAGTATGTTAAGTTAAAAAGTTAAATTTTTGCTAAAAATAAGTAACTTTCGAAAACCATTAATTTAATCAAAGGTTAATGAAATTGAAGATAAATTTTAAATTTGATGACAATTATTCCAACCTTATTTTACTTATGGAAATAAGAGAAAATAACATTAACTATAAATAACATAAGAATTTTAGAGTCTAGATAAAATTTCCTCCCCCAACTTAATCGAGCACATTGTCTTCAATGAGCTATATGCAATTCCCCAAACTTATGAAATTATGGATATGGCAACAAAAGAATAAGAGGTGGAGAGATAAATACCATCATGGACAATATAAGAGCTGGGTGGTGAAGTTTATCCAAGCTATAATGTTAGAAAAATACTAATAGGAAATCCAAAGTATATAAACTGAAATCAACAATGAAAACAAAACCAAAGTTAAATGTTCAACAAAATTAATAAAGAGTAACCAAAATAAAGTGAAGTCCATCAAGCTTCTGGTGGTGGAGGTGGAGGAGGCTGCAGCAACTGAAGCACAATCTGAAGTTGAGCAGAAATCCCTAGGTATTGGCCCTGCATAGTGTCTAGACGGGAGTCGAGGCTGCCGTGCATGATCTCGATCGACTGGAATTGGTCAGCAATCATCGATTCCATTCCATTGAGCCGGGTGTCAAACATGTCCATTCGGGATAATATTCGGGCAAGCACCTCATCATTGGACAAGTTTGATGTTCCCTGAAATGAAGGTCCAGCAAGGTCCAGTCCAGAAGTTACCTGCACAGAAGAAACACCAAAACCAGGGAAAGGAGTGGAGTATCCTCCTCTATGTTAGCTCCACGCGGCATCCTGATCTATGTTAGCTCCACCGGCATCCTGATGCGCCTCATCATCAAAACTGTCTGTTCGAGCACCCATCAAACGGTAGGAGTCTCCTATCTTTTCAACTAGTTTCATGTGAATCATCACATCTAGATCTAACCGGGTCCCTCTTCCCCCTCCAATACTATCATAAATTGGCCTAGCAGGATTCCACACCCTCAAATAAATAGCAATACGTGTGACAAAACAACCGATCATAATGGATCCCTTATCTGCTCTTGCTACTCTAGCCCATTTTTGGCATAGCCAATAACCCACATTCAACAAAATCCCTTGATCAATAGCCCATATAAAATATAATTCATTTCGTCCCAATACGACGTCACTTTCACTTCTCCCAAAGATAGTATTGACTAGAAATTTGTGAATGTAACGCAAAGCAAGATTTTTCAATTTAGATGCTTTGGAAAACCTAGGATTATATTGATCTTCTCTAGTTAATCTAGACCACCTAGTGCCATCCATATAATCCGTAGGTACTTGGTTAATCGCATTTTCAATGGGAAAACCAAAAATGTGATTAACTTCATTCACTGAAAGTTCAAAATTTCTACCAACTAATCTGAATCTAATCTTTTTAGGATAACCTTCAGGTGGCAATCGAACAAGTGAGGAATATGAGCTTAAAAATTCTAATGTTAAAGGAGCATACACCAGGTCTTTCATCTCAATAAATTATCCCCACCCCACATGCCTAAGAGGCTCTATCACAGCATCCCTAAGCCCAACTTGTGATAATGCATTCTCATCTATAAATCTGTTTGGTAAAATAGTGCGTGAAGAGAGTTTATTATACCTTTCTTGTTGCTCCGAGGAACCCATCTCGAATGGAGGAAGAGGTGGACCTTCAGATGGTGGCGAAGCTGTGGAGGATCGGGTGGTGGAGCGTCATCCAGCTGCTACAGATGAAGCAGGCCTGCTGCTTTTGTACCTTGGAGGCATGATGATGATAAAGATTGAAGAAAAAATGGGGTTTTGATGCTTTTGCGTGAGAGAAAATGAGAGAAAATGAGAGAATAGAGGGGGGCGGCTTGGGCGTGCGGCTGGATAATGAATAGAATTAGGGCGTGCCGTTTAAATAGGGTACGTTTTAATGCGCCTGTCTGGTCGTGGCACGGCCGTGCTCCCTGGCATGGTCAGGGCGTGCGCGCCTCTGTCTCTCTAGTTGATAGCGGGCACAGGCGTGCAGCTCAGCACAGGCTGGGTGTGCTCTCTTCTGGAAGTCCAATGCTTTAGTGGCATGGGCGTGCTGGATGGCACGGTTCAGGTGTGCGCGCGTCTTTCCTATAGGGAAAAATATGACTTACCTGGCACGGGCATGCTCTCTTCTAGAAGTCCAATGCATTAGCGGCACGGGCGTGCTGGATGGCACGGTCGGGGGCGTGCGCGCTTCTGAAAGTTTTGCCTGACCTTCGCACGAGCGTGCAGCTTGGCATGGCTAGGGCGTGCTACGTAGCACGGGTGTGCTAATGATCACGGCTGGAGCGTGCTAGCTTCTGTCTCTCAAATTCCAATCTTCTCTTTGAAGCACAGTTGTGCCAATTGACGTGCTGCCTCTTGGACTTCTTATTATTCCTGAAAAATAAAATAAAACAAACAAACAATAAAATTGAAATGAAAATGGATTGTCTCCCATAAGCGCTTTTATTTAACGTCGTTAAGCTCAACGTACTTAAGTCGGTTTAGGCTAAATAAGATTGATGGTGTTTTTGACTGGATTAAAGTTGTCGTTTTGATAAACTTTTAAGCATTGAGCATTAACTTTGAAACTCCGGTCACCATCCATTATTTCGACAGCCCCATGTGGAAAGATTTCTTTGATCGTAAATAGGCCAGACCATCTTGAGCGTAACTTACCAGGAAAATGACGAAGTCTGGAGTTATAGAGCAACACTTGTTGTCCTACCTTAAGATTCCTCAAAATAATGTGCTTATCATGCCATTGTTTGGTACGGTCCTTATATATTTTGGCATTCTCATATGCATGGAGGCGCATTTCATCCATCATATTTAGCTGAAGAAGCTGTTTTTGACCACTTTCCTTAGTGTTGAAATTTAAAAATTGGATGGCCCAAAATGCCTTATGCTCTAATTCAACAGGGAGGTGACAAGCCTTACCATAGACAATGCGATATGGAGACATACCGATTGGCGTTTTGAATGCAGTTCTATAAGCCCATAGAGCATCATCGAGTTTCTTGGACCTGTCTTTTCTAGATTGTCCAACAGTAGTCTCCAGAATCAGTTTTCTTGACCTGTCCTTTTCTAGAATTGGTCCAACAGTTAGTCCTCCAGGAATCTTCTTTGACTTCTCTATTGGTAAATTCCACTTGTCCGCTTGTTTGAGAGATGATATGGAGTCCTACACGATGAGTAACACCATATTTTGAAAGGAGGGAATCTAAGGATATGGAGTTCCTACACGATGAGTAACACCATATTTTGAAAGGAGGGAATCTAAGTATTTGTTGCAAAAATGCTTACCTCCGTCAGTGATTATTGCTCTAGGGGTGCCATGACGCGTGAAAATGTATTTCTTGATAAAGTTTATCACACTTTTGGCATCATTGTTTGGAAGGGCAACAGCTTCAACCCACTTTGAAACATAGTCCACTGCTACCCGAATGTATTGGTTGGAGTAAGATGAGGGAAAAGGTCCCATGAAATCTAAACCCCAAACATCAAAGATCTCCACTTCAAGGATATTATTTAAGGGCATCTCATGTCGTTTTGAGATGTTGCCTAACCTCTGACATCTATCACAAAGACGAACAAAGTTAAAAGCATCCTTAAATAAATCAGGCCAATGCAAACCACTTTCCAAGATACGTGCTGTCGTCTTGCTTGCTCCAAAGTGTCCCCCACACTCCATTGAATAAACCTTTACTTGACTTGTAGCAACAATAACGTCACCAATATGAGCATATCGTCGTACCGAAATGGGTTCTTTACAAGAAAGAAAATTCTTGTAGAATAGAGAATGAACGAGTTAGATGGTGTGAAGAGCGCTCGATTTCGAGCAGCCACAGTTTTTCAGCTACCATAGACGGCGGTGACGACGGTGGTCCGACGGCCGACAGGCGAGTCTCCGGCGAGGCTCTAAGAGGCAGAATCATCTCCTCCTCGCGCGGATCGTGGAATCGTCGTCCAATTTTCTATTGGTATGCTCTAAGACCTAGTTCCTCATTTTTGGTATAAATTTCAAATTTAAAACTATTAGATGATTAAGTTGAATTCGACTAAATAGTTAATCGAATATAATTCTTGTTAGGGTTCACGATAGACATTTAATTATTTAGCTACTATTAATGTGAAAATTAACTTGATGGTTATTGCTATGAATCATTGTATTGGAGGAAAAACTAGGTGCCAAGTTACTGTTAAGCAAAATTTTTAGGAGAAGTATTTAAATTAATATGCAACTGAAGTTATGAGTTGAATTCCTATATAGTAATAATTAGATTAATGTATTTCTTACAAGCTTAATAGGGAGATTATAATTTTCTTATCATGACAACGACTATTTTGTTTACTTTTATGAGTTGACGGTTTGAAGGCTTAAAAGCAAGGTTGTAAATATAGTTTTGGGTAGGGTAGTGAGCTAGTTAATGTGAAAGTATAAAAATTCAATTAAGAAATCTAGACTTTTGGATATGGCAGCAGTTAACTTGATAAATTGTTTATATTTTATTATAATAGGAAGTGATGTCGTATATTAAATTATTGATAAGAAATGGTTAGGATAGTATGTAAATTATGAGTTTTAAACAAAGAACTCTAATTTTCTTTGATATGGCAGCAAACAATCATTCTTAGTTTTGTTATATTTTCTTGTTTAGTGAGATAGAGGATGAAGTTTGAATATCTAATATACTTCATGGAACCGAACAAGTTACATGGAAATTGGGATAATTCGTGGTTATTAAAACATGAGAGGATTCTTGAATGTAGCAACCAAATTGCTTATTCTTTTTTATTAGTTTTTGGAAATTTAAAGATGAGGACTAATGTTTGGCATGCATTGTTCTTTGGTGGGGAAATGGATAAAAACATGTTTTGGATTTAATTTAGCCTAGTTACTGGAGATGTTTACTAAATGCAGCAGCTAGCTAGACCGAAATTTCATAAATTTGGGAAAAGTAGAGCTTGCTAATGTTATGAATTTTTAATCTTCATTGGTAATCAATTTAAAATAAGGATTATGAATGATAAATTTTTAAATATAGAGAATGAGAGTAAGTTTTTCATGAGCGTTATTAAAATAAGGAAATATTAAAGCTTATGTTCTGATATAAAACCCTGGATGATGATTTAGCAAAAAGGCTTAATGACAATTTAGTTATTGTATAATTTTGATATTTTTTGATATTTGGAAATTTCAAATGACTTGCACATTAAAAGTTGTGAATTGGTTACTTAGAGGATGTATTTTATTGATTGCTATTTAATTTAAGCATTGGTTCTTAGTGAATAGGCTAGAATTTTAAAGAATATCTAAGTATGTTATTTATACCTTAAGCAAGAATGATTGATAATAATGTGGTTACAGGTTTGGAAGTAACTTTAAGTTGTAAATTGATGTGATTACTTTGGGTGGAGGAAGGGAAATAAATTTATTTGATTGCTCGATGGATAGGCTGTGTGTTTTGATTGAATAATACTTAGTGTTATTGGGATATTTAAGGAGGTTGATAGTCCCATTTTTAGGGAAGGTGTTGCTGAAATTACAAAAGAATCTAGGCTAGTTGTATTTAATGGACAAATTAATAGGTTTGTTTCGAATAATTCTTTAATTTGATATATTTAAAAATAAATCTCTTTATTTACTTTAGTTATTTCCTTTGCATTTATACGTTATTAGATTGTCCGAGTATGTCCATCGCTCCTGCGAATCGAAATATGAGAGCTTCCTCTCTTCATCGTCACTGTGAATACTAATAAACAGTGCACTATCATCTGCATCATGATAGTTACATTACCGCATAATGCTATAATTACCTATTTATTTAATTAGTAATTATTTATTTTTATTGGTATAGCATAAATATTCATTGCTTTATAATTAATCATATATGTGCATATTTATGTGTTTGCATAACAATATTTGTTTATATAATGTGGTTGCATTTAAATGCCATGTTTGATTAGATGTGTTGTGATGATATGTCGTGTTTGTGTGGAATTGGGATGAAGTGGGTCACCATTGGGTTTATGAGGGCGGTCCTCGATACCGTCAGCCATGTATGGGGAGATACCGTCAGCCATGTATGGGGAGATCGGCGCCCCCGTGTGCATATGATGATGTGAATTATATGGAAAACCACAGGATGGCCTCTTGTTAATATGAAAAGAAAATAGAGTATAAAAAAAAAGAGAGGGCGGGTCAAGTGAGGATTAGACCGGTCGGCCATTTATGGGAGATCGGCTCCTTGGTGCACACATCATGAGAGGATGGGTGATGTGTGAGGACGGCTCATCGGGGGTTTCGGTGATGCCATTGACCAATCTCCACTTGTTTCATTACCTAAAGGTGAAATTACTTATGGATGCTAATGTTATGCCATATGCTTGACTGGCTGTGTGTGCATTTTGGTACTTTAGGATACATTTCATGTGAATGCTTATGTTATGCAATATTTATTTTTCATTATAAAACTTATTTCTTTTGTTTAACCTTTTCAAGAAGTAGGAATTCCCTTCAAGTCGGCTAAGGCTTTGCAATCTTCTCCGTAGGGTACAAAAGTAAATTTCTAAAGTTCTGTAGTTAATTAACTAATGTATTGTTATATATAAGAATTTCATTACTTCTAGATATTATCGAACTCCGCAGTTGTAGGATTTATGTACCTTTAATCGTGTATTAAAACAGACATACTAATCTATGAATTTATGAATGTCTTAACTGTTTATGAATTTATGAATGTCTTAACTGTTTATCTAAGGCATGTATGAACTAGTAGCCCATATTATGAATGAGGTGTATTTCAAATAGGCCCGAACTATGTTTTTATTTGAGATGTTTGAGATTGGGCCAGGACTATGTGATTACTTGATATATATAAAATAATATGGGCTTACTGTTCCTAGAAATTCGTTTGACATGTATATATGTTGTGGTTTAGGCTTACTACAAGCCCAGGGGCCTTAAGCCTACCTAGACCCTAGTGCCGATCCGGCCCACGATTTCGAATGGTAACAATGAGTTTCTAATGGATTTAGTTTAGTTTTGAGGTTTGATTTAACAATATAAAATATATTTACCTTAAATTTTGTTAAATAACTTCATAAGGTACTAATTAATTTTTTGTAAATATAATAATGCCCTTTAATACTATTGGTTTAAAATTCATATGTAAATTTGCTAATGAAAAATTTTTGAAAATAAATTTTCGGGTTGTTTCAGTAATACTATATAATGGATAGTAAATAAAGTACATATTAATATGGTAGGAATATAATATCATCCCAATCATTTGTTAACTTGATTGAGATGTTTTTTCACCTTTACAACTCGCTCTATCTGTCCACTATTTGACGTTGCTTTGGATATTTATGAGAAGGAAGCTTCTCACAGTCACATATATTGGCTGTAATCGACAACCAACAAGTCTTTTTCCAATGGATCAGTTTTAAGGATTTTAATTTTATTAGTTAAGAAAATAAAAATAATTTAATTTTGATTGCTTATGATGTACTCCTTAAGGTACAGATTAAATTTGATAAAAATATAATATGTTTAATTATTAACAAATCTTTAATTTGATTGGTTTATAACTAGAACTGATGATTTTTAAATCGAAATGATATAATATAATACTCCTACAAAAGTAAGAATGTGAGGGAAACATTCAGATTGTAAAAAACGCAGCTATTAAGTTTATGAATTAACAAAAATATCATTAAATATTTTAAAATGAGCAATTTTGAAATTGAAATTATATGATATAATATAATATTATAATATGGTAATACTATTTGATTGATACTAAATAAAGTATATATTAATATGGTAAGAATATGATATCGGCCCAGGCCTTTATTAACTTGATTGAGATTTTTTTTTTTTTTAACCTTTATAGCTCGCTTTGTCAGTCCACTATCAGACGTTGCTGATATTGACTGTAATTGACAACCAATAAGTGTTTTTCCAATGAACCAGTTTTAATGATTTTAATTTTATTGTTAAAAAAAATAAAGATAATTTAATTTTGATTAGTTATGTTATACTCCTATATAGGGGTGAGCAAAATTACCGAACAAACCAAACAAAAAAATGAACTGACTCATTTTGGTTTTGTTCGGTTGATGCCCAAGAAAGATTCAGTTGATCGGTTCGTTCGGTTTGAACTAAATTTGTTGCTCGGTTCAATTTGGTTATATAAATATTCGATGGTTGGGCTTAAAACTGAATTGAAATGGTAAAAATTAACAAAAAAGACCGAGCCGATTGGTTCGGTTTGATTCATATACAAACTTCAGTCTAGTTCGATTTATTATATAGAAACTTCGATTTATGTTTTTGAATTCGGTTCGGTTCGATTTGAACGGAACCGACCGTTTGCTCAACATTACTCCTATATAAGATACATATTAAATATGATAAAAAAAATTATATGTTAACTTATTATTTTAAACTAAATCTTTAATTTGATTGGTTTATAATTGGAACTGATGGTTTTGAAACCAAAATAATATAATATAATCCTCCTATAAAAGTGAGAATATGTAGAGAAATATTGAGATTGTCAAAAACACATCTATTAAGTTTATGAATTGACAAAAATATCATTAAAGATTTTAAAATTGACAGTTTTGAAACTGAAATAAATATAATATAATATAATATTATAAAATGGTAATACTATTTGCTAA